ACAGCACCAGCTCTGAGCGCTATCGTACTGCTGACCGTATTGCTGGTTGTTCGGGTACTGTTGGTTCTGTCCATACTGCTGATTTTGTCCGTACTGCTGGGTTTGTCCGTACTGCTGGGTTTGTCCATAGTAACCCTGATTACTGTTGGCTTGACCTGCTTGACCATATCCGGTACCATATTGGTATTGTTGCTGCTGGTTTTGGTTCGGGTAACCGAGGTTCGTGTTCAGTACAGGGTCGTAGTAACGAGTAGGTGAGTTTGAGTTGGGATTGTAGTATTGTGATGAACTGGATGATCCGCTAGAGTAACCAGAGGACGAACTTGGATTGTATTGCTGATTGCTGTAGCCTGACGATGGCGTGTAGTAGGACGAGGATCCTGAAAGGCATTGTAGATTAATGAAGAAAGCTTATTCTTCAAGTCTATCGTAGTTCAAAACTTTTCCTATAGGCCATTCCTTATGGAGGCTCTTCAAATCTAAGTTCTACGTTCGATGTTATTTCTGAATTTTTTTAGTGAATGCTCTACATCAAACAAATTTGACAAAACGTCACCTGTGCTTCGAAAATTTTAGCTTTAATAATTTTTTTATTCGGAAAAATTATTTATCGGAAAAAATAAATTCATTGGCATGTTCTGGAAAGCCAGGACGCGATGTTACAGTAGGAATAGGCTGGATGGCTCTGCTGCACACCTCGTTCTGCAGCGAGCCTTATATGGAGCGAAGCTGGAAGAACCGTCTGTAGGGGTTGGGTGCTAAGAGAACTCTCGACTTAGCGCTATAGAATGCGCCATACGTTCGACTCATAGTCAGATTCGAAAACCTCATGGTGTTCACAAAAGCCGTCGTGGCTAGCCACTGTTCGTCTCGTTGCCTTCTGATGCGTCGGCTTGCGGTTGAGCGACTCTAGAAGACATCAATGGCTCGATTGACCACTGAGCTAGCCCCTCCTCAAAAACTCACTCTCATTATTCTTTTCGACTGTCCCTGTTATTTGGGAATCTTTAGCGTGTTTACCCACTATGTATGTTCCTCCAACTTGTCTGCCCTCTCACCCAAGGGTCGATCGAGATGATCTTCAACCGTGAGGAAGAGCTTTTGGAAAGTACTGTCCTTCTTTGCCCTTGACTTTTTCCTGCTTCCTTCCGCCTTTCATGGCAAACGTGAGGTAGGCAGGGTGCAGACGGATCGTAGTATTGGTTGGTGAGGTTTTGGTCCGTCAGCGAGTTGTTCCGCTGTTCTCCGAGTTACGTTGCTGTTTGATGTTGTCCGACCTCTTTAATTCAGCCGGAAAGACGATCAAAAGAAGCGATTAACCAGTCCGTTGACGTTCATCTGTGGAGCTATTGGACTATTTTGGTCACAAATCAAGGAAGTCAGTGATATCGCTGCAGTGTTCAAAACGAAACTGCAATACATGTCGTCGTTTCGCTGTGTACCGCTTCGAAGCCTGCTCCAAGGTATTTAGAGAACTTCAACTTTTCGCAGTTTGCGGCACATTAATGGGCTCTTTTCGCATGTGCTTGCTTGACCAATCACCCCCCGTCACAGTTCTGATGAGGTTCGGCGCTTAGCCTATCTTACTTTGGTAAATTCAAATTGTGTTACCAAGCAATTGCTCAAATTGTATCTCGGTGTGCACATTCTAGGATTTACAGACTTAATCGTCCACAGGCATGTGGGACCAAAAGCGTCAAAAGTACACATCGATTTTCTGGTGTCATTTCTGCGAAGGCTACTAACCAGGGAAGGCAAATGGGTTTTTGAATTGATTCCCAGATGTATCGATATAGCTTCAAGCGCCGATACAAGATAAAAGGATAAAGGATAAAGCATTTGCCGTTGATCAATCCCTTTTTGGGATGCGGCACGCATTCTACTTCCATTTGTACATTCGTAGTGGCGTTTGAATGCGATGTGGCCTATACAATGACTTGCGGGGCCAGCCGATGTACAAGTCAGTGTTTTTATCCTCCCAGACAAGTCTGGTACCAATTAACCGACCCCGGAGGGATGGAAGGCTTGGTTGGCCCGGGCGACTCACGACCCAGGATTTGATCCCCGGACCGCTCGCGTGGTAAGCGCGCCACTTGTCACTACACCACTTCCGCCCTGATTACAAATATGGAAACTAAAACTGCAAAATGAACCTGCCAAGGAAGTTGTGAGCAGTCAAAGTTGGCTAAAGTAAAGCGTTGCATATGAACCGTGCTAGACTCCAGGCTTTCAGAGTCGCCGCGGAGTAGTGGTAGTGCCCTCGCTCTTCACCCGGGAGGTCATAAGCTCTCTTCCCGTTGGAGTGCAAATTTCGAGAGCACTACCACTACTCCACGGCGACTTTGAAAGCCCGGAGGCTAGTGTAATGCTTTACTTCCAGCCAACTTTGACTGCTCACAACTTCCTTGGCAGGTTCATTTTGCAGTTTTAGTTTCCATATTTGTAATCAGCGTTTGAAGCTCTATCGATATATCTGGGTCTCATTCAAAGTTCCATGGGAAGTTGAATGCCTTTCCTGGTAAGTGAATTTCCTAAGGGCGAAAAACAAAAAATAGCTCAAAGTTGCGGTTAGATGTATGGGCTGCTCACAACTTGTCGCAAAACTTCCTATGATACCGTCTACTATGACAACAAGCATCCTTTTCTCGGAAAAGTTCATTTGCTGTTTGGCAGACAATGTCAAAGATGTTCCAAAGTCGGATTTCAGTTGTGTTCTGCTTTACCAAATGTATTCCGTAGAATTCAGTTGAGCGGAAAGAAACAACAGTTTATGCACAACAATTCCATCAATGCGGTTTTTTACATTCTGTACAATATCTACGATTTTTTTTACATATTCTATTTCTTTCTCAAAATTCACGAATAGAACCCGTCGTTAACGAAAACAACAGATGCCTAAAGCAGTCTGCAGTACGTTGGAAGATTGAGGTGGATAGGCTCCGAAAGTGTTGCCAACTCCTTGATTAGGTTGGCTATATTGGTATTCATTGGAAGGGTAGGGGTTAACATTGGCGTACATATTGTTTGAGGGCGACTGGTATTGGTAGGTGGAGTCGGACATGCCATTCGTTGGTGAATAGAGCGGATATGTGGAGCCTGACATGCCATTTGAGGATGATTGGTATGGATAAGTGTAGTCTGACAAACTACTCGATGATGGCTGGTATTGATAAGCAGTGTCTGACATGGTATTCGAGGAAGACTGATATGGATAAGCCGCACCCGAAGAGGCTGATCCAGATAGAGCTGGTGTCGGTGCAGGAGCAGGAGGTGGCCCGCCGATCGTGTCGAAGAACGGCTTATTCAGTGCTTGAGTCTCCTCTATCCGTTGCTTGTTCGTGTACTGATCGCCTTGATAATCGGGTAAATAACCAGGTTCGTTGCCAGACACCTGCGGACCTAAAGCTTGAGGAAAGTTGAAGGTTAGATTGCGAGGGAAGATTTATATTTAGAAATCTGCAAAATAGAAATCAGCTGAAAGACATCACGTCGGTCAATTTCTTCGTTTTGAATTCAAGGAGAAAATTTGATACGTAGTAGAAGCGAGATTATAGCGTTGTTTCCCGCGGCTGGGCTTTCCGCAATTACAGACTCAGCATAACCCATGGTTACGACT